GTGAGAGGACCAATGACCAGTCCTAAACTCCAGTCTATCAATGGTGGACAACAATTTCCTCTTTTGTGGGGAATCATGAACAAGAGGTAAGTCATGCCTATCCCCTCCCCACAGAAACACTGATTCTCCTACTACAGGAGCTGAGTGATACGCTATCCCTCCCAGTTGATAGATACCTGTAAAATACAAACATGATGAGAAAGAGGAGGAAGAAAACAGAAACTCACCTTTAGACATTGTTTGTCAAGAATGTTAATTAACTAGCCACACCCATAATTAATAATATTCATTACTCTTAATGACCCATACCCATATCACCTTGTAAATTAAATCCAATCACTGCAACATTATAACAATAAGTACAGTAATTATTAGTTGGTTGTATGTCAAGGAATACATCAGGTTAAAACATGTCTTCTTTGCTTGCTGATGAGGTGATGGTCCTGCTATTGAATGTATTGGAATATATTCTTCTTAGTGAGTTAGTGGTGAGTCCAATTAATAATAATTGGTAGTTGGTACTCTCTTGGTGATTATGATAAAAGGTACTTGAGCTAGTACTTACAAGAAATGTACTCACAAACTAACCCTCAGGTATAATAGTAATACAAGATATTACAATCAAAAGGATTCAAGTTTTATTATTATTATTATTATTAATGTTAATGCATTATAGCAAACATGACAAACAATATCTTAACTGGAATTATTAGAGATTTTATATTACATGAGAGTTTTGTAGTCAGTACTTGTAACAAAGAGACTAAACTCAAGTGTAGATTGCATTATTCATTACAAGTCAAATATCACCTACTGGACACAACAATAAATAAAATAATGAGAATTACTTTTTATACTATAGTAAACTATTCAAACTATACCTCATAGTATAACTTCATACACTGTAGCCTTCTTGTCTCCAGATCCAGTAACAATAAAACGATCGTCAACTGATATGTCACAGCTTAAAACACTACTGCTTTCAGACATCTGTATGTATAGGATACAATCATTATTTCATTGTACATTAATGTATAATTATAAATAAGACTACACACACACATAATAATAGTAACAAGTACAAATACCACTGTACAGTTAATGTTAATAATAATGGACTATGTACCTGGAATATACTAGCACCATAAGGTGTTCTCCATGCATTTAGTAGATTATCCTTTCCTGTAGTTATAAACCATTTACCACTGTGAGCAAACTTGAGTGACAGTACACAAGACTCGTGTAAATGTAACTGATACTTATCTGGACCACTCACACGAAGGACTTCAACACTACTG